TTGAATAGGGAGAGAAGGTTGGATTGCTTCAACTTTTTTGTTGGTCCTTCATTGGATGATGAAGATAATTTCTTGGTGTTTTTTGTTTCTTGCTTTCTTTTCATTTTTTAAACGTGGCGGGCAGTAAAAGTTACCGTTACAAGAATAAACAATTCATAATTTAAAAAAAATAAAAATGTGTTGCTTTCATCTGTTCATCACAATGCTATCTTTAATATCAGATAAATAATCTTTCATGAAGATCTTCCTCGTAAATGGAAGACAAAAAGAATACTAACAAAAAATAATCAGCCAATTAAATTTACTCCAACAAAATCAAAATGCGGAGATCACTTCTTAGCATCAAACAACATACTTTCTGCCCTTGCCCTTCCAAAATTACTTCCCATCCATCAAACATTCTTCTCTTATGCACAAGTAGAGTGAATCGACAAGAAGAAAAAAAGGCACAAAAATGAAGAGGTTTTTCGACTCTGCAGGGAGAGTAAAATCTTTTTCTCATCACGAATATTTATTATCTTTATTTATTAGTAGCCTTCTCTTGATGATGTTGTTGTTTAGTACTACTACCATCAATGCAACATCTTCAGATAACAACTTGGCTCCTACATACAAATTGGAAACCATCGCTGGAGGTAATCTTGGTGATGGCTATAATGGACTTGATACACCAATCGGTCATCCACACGCTATTGCATTCTATCCTAGAACAATTCCTACACCTCTTGTAAATTTGGTAGAAGATGAAAGACCTCAAGATTTGATCATTATTGACAGAGCAAATAATTTAATCAGAAAATTAACTTATAATTGGACTGGTGTTATTGTTGATCCTGAACAAGAAGTTTTCGATAACATTCCTACTGTTGTATCAACCATTGCTGGTGTTGCAGCATCAGGTTCATCATCTAATGAAAACACTGATGGCCTTCCAGCTAATACTGTCAAGTTGACCAATCCAAACACAGTCACAGTTTCGTTAATGACTGGTGATATTTACTTTGTTGAAAACAATCCAACTTGGTCTATCAAAAAGATTGATATTAATGGTACACTCTCAACATTTGCCAC